CAGTCTGGTCTCTTCTTCATTCACGAGAGGAGGGTGGTTGTGTTGTGTGACGGAAGATATGTGGTGGCCAATGGTACTGCATTTACTCTTACTTTGATCTATGACGCACTTCCAGTGTGTAGCTACTTGTCTCACAACATTGATCAGTCGATACTTGTGGCCATCATGTAGTACCCGTCTTCCTCCTCTCTGAGACAAAATGAACTCTGCCCTCTGCAGGTTAGCCATTGTGACTATCAGTGCTAGGCGAACACTCCATTGTATAGGGTTAAGTTGGTTTAAAGCCTATTAGTATTTTACAATGTCTCGTCATTGCTTTTACAAGTTAGCTTATGCATTAATCCCCTTCATTTTATTATACCCCAGTTGTAACATCTTAGTGGATGCACTAATCCTCTCTACTCAACTACATACCCTTATAGCAACAGTCGATCAAGATTAGTGTGGCCCTGACCAGTGAGTCAGGCTCATTATAAGAGCATGGGTTGCATTTTCTAATCCCAATTAGCCTACATTGTTTTTGTATGCGATATGGGTTGAAGGCAAATTGAGATGAAAGCGAATAGAGACTTATTCGTTACGAATGATATATACACGAGCATTGATCAAGCGCCACCCACTATTTCGGATATGTGCTTCACAATAAAATGTGGCCGTTGGGGTAGCCTAGTGGTAGCCCGCCTATTTCTTATATTCCCACCCACCTCCCCTAATAATAATTATATTAAACCCCACCTACCCCGTCGGCGAAATTGGCCTAGCTAGAAGCCGACGTAAAACCATCCAAATCGTCGTTGTCGAGCCTAGTGGTTAAAGTGTTCCCTCGTCACGCCGAAGGCACGGGTTCGATCCCCACATGGGTACAATGTGGGAAACCCATTTCTGGTGTGTCCCGACGTGATGTTGCTGGAATATTTCTAAAAGCGGAGTAAAACTAATCACATTCACTCACTCATTATATAATGACGGAAACCTAACAAGAGAATGGCACCTCATGAAATAAACACGTGTACATTTCATGATAGGTAGCTTTCATATCAGACATGTAGATGTTTACATAATTATGTTTTTGACATTCCTGATATCAGACCACATCGGCCATTCGTGACCCACTCGTGTTATTCCGGGACAAGTGGTGGAGGTTACGGAAAGGGGCGACTGGTGACGAATGGAGTTGGTCACGTATGGCCGAATAGCGAGGGTTACGGAAAGGGTCGAGTGATGACGAATGCATATCTGTGTCTCTGCTGATACTATCAAGCCCGTAACTGTCTACTACTGATATGACTCTGGACCCTGTCAGTTGATATCTGAGTCATTTGACGTTCTGATGTGTGCACTACTCGTGTCGTGGGGCGCCAATGAAACAAATCTTTCATAGCTGTAGAAAGTGATGAATTACGAATATTTAAAGTGAAAGGTGACACAATTTAATTTATGTCTCAGACTCTCATAAATTGGAATCGTACATCACAGGTCATTCGTTGGATTCCCCAGTGAAGGACAGGGTTGGAATGAGTCTGAAGTAACCAGCACTATAGGAAAGATCTGGTCAGGCTCTCTGACGGAACTGGTGCACGTTATTGTACACATGAGCAGTAGGGTAGCGTAGTGTTCGCTTATCACAACGGAGGGCAGGCCTCGTTTCCACACCAGTGTTTGTAATACTTTAATGTGCCAGGTGGCAGTCAGGGCCTACTGCCACCTGCAGGCTTTAAAATCTACAGGCACTGAATGAAATCTGAAGGCCCATTTTGTTAAAGTAAAACCACAAAACACAAAATAGACTACACTGTACACAGTTTCACACTGTTTCTACAAAATCAATTAGCGAAGCCTATGGCGCTGAGAGATGTATTTATTTGTTAAAGACTGGTGTTGACATTCCTATGCGCAAAACGCTGAAATACCAGGAAGTGAAACTGTTATCGTAACATGATGGATCTTTGATGATTCTCGAACGTTAATAAAGAAAAGAATAATGGGAAAGATTCCAGTTGAAAAAAGACCGATAATTTACTGAGGGCCACAAGGGCCTGCAAATATTTGAAACTGCCGGCCCGATACAATAACAACTGGCGCTGGGCCTCCCGGCCGGCGATTGTTTCGAACGCTGTTCTACACATGCATACTTTGTATGGTATATACACATATAACACGCTGGGATATTTCTGGAATGTTGCTGAAAAAGACGTAAAACCCATTCACTAACTCATCGTCTCCCAAAAGCCTCTTTCGATGCTCATTACACGTCAATCATTGGAGTGTTTGGTCCAGTTTTGATCATTTGAACACTCCTGAAATACTACTGGAGTATTGCTGTCTGAGACGTTCAAGAAACAAACGTAGTCCCGTCATTATATCCACACTTGGCATTTTGTCAAATAAAAATATTTCAAAGTGAGGATGGAGCAAAGACGTCTTCTTGTTATATTGAAAACAAAGGTCACAGTTTATTTGTGTTTCACCAAGAAAACCAACAAAGATAATTGATCACACTGAATTTAAATTTATAATATAACGTTAGTTGTTTAGCATGTATAGTGGGTGAGTGAGGTTAGTGTAAGACTTGGGTAATTGCGGTGGTTGCGTAACAATTACGTCTCACGGTAAAAGGGATGGGCAAGTGTGTCTATTGCGCGAAGTGCTCCAGTCAAAGATGACACAACACAAAAAGACAGTAATAATATGTATTGAAATAAAAGGGTCTTGGTTTACAGAGGTGCAAGTTCCGACTGCACAGTCCAGGTGAAACCTAAAAAACAAGTTGGCTTGTTGTCACCTCGACAGTGCAGGCAGAAAGAGCCATTGTGCAGATACAGTAATGAAAATTAACAATATCCGACTGATATATAGGATGTGACGACAATACTTAGCGTCAGGGGAAACAATATTATTAGAGAATATATAAACACAATACTGGAACAAAAGTATGTGTGCATATATGAGCACACAACCCCAAAGAGTATTTACATAAATAACTTTAATTATATAACCCAAAAGAATCGTCACACCCCTCCTATCAGAGGATTTACATGGGGCCCCACCTGAGGTGAGGTGAAAGTCACAATAACTTTAATGGCCAATGGGAAGTATAAAAATACATATATATATACACAAAGTGGGGAAAAATTTATACCCAACACATTTGGAATATATGAAAACCGGTTGATTGATATAAACAATACCCACGACAGGACACCTGGCCTGTACGACACATGTGGCTAAGGGAAATGGGGTATGACTGCCTGTTGGATGATCATACTAGTCAATATGAGGCTAGCTCCAACAGAATGTCAATACACCCAGTAGGTACACCACTTGGGGCTACCCAGAATAAACACCTAATTGTAGTAAATAAATTGATAATATGTAATAACGGATATTACATGATTTATATTACTACAATTTGTAGGTATATTATTGGCCATATAATATAATACATTATATTATTATTGAATAAACTGTGACTTCACTTTCACATCAGGTGGGGAAACATACTAAAATATAATTGGTATAGTTGCATGGTAGTCAATGCTATGCCTGTTGGCAACGTTTAATTGCGTAAAGCCAGACGCGAAGAGAACGAGAAAATAATCTTGTTCAGTAAATAAACAATATTCAAATGCTGAATATCTTATTACCCATCAGTAGCACTTTACAGATATACTTGATAAAGTGACATGAGATGATGGTAGGCTTTTGCTATGTTAGAATAAACATGAAGCAGACGACGGACCCTAGGTTTGTTTACATCCGGTGCAGCCATTTTGTAATGGAGCCGGACGGGAGCCGGAGAATGCCGAGGAGAGCCGAAGACAGCCCAGGCTGTGTGCTGCTCAGTGGAGAGGTCAGCACTGGTCAGTGAGCATGACCGCCACTAATTGGTTCCAGCTGATACCGTGATACTGAGCACATGGTTTGGAAACCGGGACAGTGATACAGCCACTTTTTAAGTTTAGAATAAAATGGCAAAAGAGTTCTGTTGTTAGCAGCAACAAGTTGTAAATAAATGGAATTTTGAATTTAGCAATGAGCTAGAGACAATTTTGACTGGTAGGTCAAATAAACAAAGTACTTTACCAAAATGAATTTCTAGATGAAAATATATTACAATGAGTACATGTCATTTATTCTTGCCATCGAGTGCACGTTTGGACAGTCACAGATGAGTGACCTTTCGCCAGTTTGGCACAGCAAGAATAATTGATGACAGTGACCCAACACTTGTTTTAATTGTGATTTATCAAATTAAAAAATACATTAATTTAAAAGCCGCAGATAATTACTTATCCTGCTAACAACATAACTATGCATTGGAATTTAATACAGAAGACCTAGTTGCAATATGGAAGCAAACTGAGGTTCTTACCTAAAAAACAAGTTGGCAGAAAGAGGAAGATTTCAGGCTTGGGGGTCCCACGCTCCCTCTTGCCCCTGTCATGTGACAACATAGCCCCTTGGGATTGGCTAAAAAACTGTTGCTATGGAAACCATGGCACCAGTGCCTTGAGCCCAGAACCCTGTCAGATAACTGGTAAAGGGCAGGATATTGTGTTACTTGTGCAAAAGACTAGGACAAAGTTTTACGAGTCAGCGAGCCTGACCACCCGATCCCGTTAGTCGCCTCTTACGACAAGCATGGGTTACTGAATATCAATATTCTAACCCGGACCTTCACGGGTCATTAAGCATGTATAACACATCGATAGGTATACACGGGGAATTCCGAAATACTATTTTGGGCAATAGCAAAGTTGACACGCGGGAGCTAAATAAATTGACGCACCGACACCGCAACCCAGGTTTGTCTTCAGCTATCGATGCAGCATAAAACGTATTGCCCATATTTATTTTACTGTTTTTGTCAATTCAATATATATATATAGGTCCAGTGCTGAACAACTTCATAGCGCCTTGACAGTAGCTATTTTTAGCTACTACGTCAGTTGATTCGACTTCTATTGACGTGGTTCTATTATTAGATAGGATCACGGCATGCCTTCAAGAAACATGCTCTTCACGAATGCGTAGTTTATTGGTAACCATACGAATTCCAGCAGCAACTACAGTAAGTATCGTCTCCAATATTCTTTGCAGTCCGTGATAACATGATTTATATCTAGCTGGTCTTTCAGAATGTGATGCTGGATATTTCTTGACACAATCCAGGTGATATGTGAATGGAATTACCTGCACTTGTGGTCACATCATTTTCACTGATACCCTTCGATCACCGCAGAGAAATTCCATGAACAGGCTGAAATTATATTGTTCCACCTTTGATGGCATTAGATTGTAAAATATATATTTCCTTACTGCTTTCCTGATATCACTGCCAACAACAAGATTGTGCTCTTCTATTGTTTATATCTGAACCTTAAGTTGTTTCATGTGCTGATAGTTTTGATAGCTGCGTTAGACACTAACTCACTGACAACAACACAATTGTGCTCCCTTACAAACTTGATGGCTGTAGAATGCGACGAACGATGTATATGAAAGTGAAATGTTACTGATTTATTTTATATTTCCATTTTGAAATATGTAGCTGTGTGTAGTTAAGAATATGAAGTAGCACTGCCATTGTTGAATGAAGAAACTGCGAAAGTTTGGGGACATTGCTACAAATGCATAGGGTATTTCTAATGATACATTTGAGTGGTCCAAAATTTTCTTTTCATGTAAATTTATTTACTATTCTTAATTTTCACTTGGACTATTAATCACAAGATTTTATTCTTCATTAAAATTCTTTTAGATTTAATTATTTTCTCCGGAATAAAGATTCAGCAAGAGACACTGTCTTATATTGAGATGACATTTTGAGAATGTTGTTCTTGGGAACGCAGGACGTATGTTAAAACTGTTATCAAAAGTAAATTAAAATGGAAATTTATCAGCAAACATGGATGTCAACAATTGAAACCTCTTCCAAAGCAACTTATAGCATTTTTAAAAACCCATCTCTTAATTTTGAACCTTACCTGAATTTGTTGCATTACAATTACTTGTTAAATCAAATACAAAAAATTTCAATCGAGACAGGTAAATGGCGACGAATCCCAGTAAATGATAGAAAGTGTACTTTGTGTAACCTAAATGATATTGGTGACGAATTTCATTATTTATTTATATGTCCCAAATTGGAACTAGAAAGAGAAAAATGTATTCACAAGTATATATTGTATTAGACCAAATTTGTTTAAAATGAATATCCTACTTAACACCAATAAGCTAGAAACTTTCAATTTATTGTAAAATAATTATGGCCTTATTTAAGAAATAAATTCAATAACTTAATATGTAACTTGCCCGATGTACATTGCACCTATCATACCGCTTGTATATACTTTTTATGTTGTATAAATGTAAATATTATTTATGTACCTCTTATGCTGCATTTTGCAGCCTGAGTGAATAAAGTTCAGTTCAGTTCAGTTAATATACACACATACATGGACAAATTAACACAGACACAAAGACAAAGGCAGACATGTCAATACACATACGCACATACAGACACACAAACACATGTACACGAACACACACAGGCGCAACCGCGTATCTAATAACGCAGCACTCACCTTTTGTTTTACAGTTTAGGTGCAAACTCATCATATACTTAGTATAGTATAGACAGTGTATTCCATTTTGCATTTATCGAGTGGAACGAAGCCAAGAAACACTATTCAACTCATAAGATGATCATATTCACATTAAATCCAATGTTGTTATAAATCCGTGTATAATAGCATTCTCCCATGAACGTCGTGACGTTGTTTTAGCTTTGGAAAATGATCCATCTGAAATTAACCTCACACTGTCACAGACCGAGACAGCCATCGTAACACTTTCCAACTACACGCCTCTAGTGATAACCCCACCTTAGTCCATGCAGTAAACCATCCGAAATCTGAGTTATCATGAAACACTGCAAACGAAACATCACTCGGCCCCTGTTCTGTGCGTCCAGTCAATGCTTGTTAATGTCCATTACTGTTTAAAGTAAAATCATACTGTGACCATGTTGTTTAGATTTAGATATTAACTCAACTGTTAGCCATGGTATGAAAAAGTGAAAGGTCTTATGCTGAGAATGTTTACGGTAATACAACTATCAAGTGGTTTTATTGATCAGAGTTTAGCTGACATTTCAAAGGATTGGGGTTTCTCGGAGAAAGAGTGTGAGTTCTCGAGGAACGACTTGAGCTAGACTTTCTCCTAGTCTAAGTGACGTGGGAAACAAATAAAATGACAAAATAAATTTTGAAACGTGTTTTGTAGCATAGGTTAATTGAATGGAAGTTTCTTTACCTCTATCTCATCGACATTTGAACATAAGTACATTTCTCTATCGAGGCGGTTCACTACTTAGAGATTTTCACTAAATGGACGTTTAGGGAATACTTTAGGAAACGATTGACATGGTACATTTCATGAATAAGTTGATTTTGATCAAAAGTTAATATATACATGTGTGCATTATATGTGTTAGTCGTGACAAATCCTATAGCTAGTAATCTTATATTGAGTTTATGAAAATACAAAGTTTGAATTTTAGCGTTTTGTTTAATTTTATTTTCAGATAGAAATGTCTACATTTAAGTGTTACATGGACATCTGTAAACGGGGCGCTCAGTACTGCGAGGATACCAGGGAAAGATGCTACTGGTGCAAAGACGCTGCTAGCCACTGTTGGACGCCGAAGATGCCACGCCAGTGCAACCAATTCTGTAACGGTCAGTTTTCTCACAAAATTCACCTCCAGGCCTGTCCTTTATACGCTTAAATCTTTGAGTGTGCATTTCAAATATCTGTGACAAAATCACATCCGATGCTATTCCCTATTTTGATTTGATTTGATTTATTACCGACAGAATCCGCGAACACTTGGTTCCACCACTAGTTTGTGACATATGATTATGATTTTGCTGGAATTTTACTATCGAATCGACTTTGAAAGCTATTTGTTATGAATATGACAACGGTGTTTTTCGGTGTTAGTTTTTAAAGGCAATGATTTTTGTTTGCTTCAGATTCGCTACAAAAATTAGTGAACCAGTCATACAGTAGAGGATATTCAGACGGACGTTCATCCCATAATGGTATATAATTTTCAATATTAAATATGCTTCTGAGTATAATTAATACGGCATATTTATAGTGATTGTTCAAATATTTTTCACAGCTATTTTTCCCTTTACACGAAACGGAATTTGTTTCTGGGAATAGTAAAAACTGGGTATTCTTTGCACTGATTTTCTGTATTTGATTTACTGGTCAATCTATATCGATAAATGTAGTCGTCATCAAGATGTCATGGCAAACACTGTTTATCAGACCCGTGAATATACGGGTTAGAATTGAACTTCATTAACCCATGCTTGTCGTAAGAGGCGACTAACGTGATCGGGTGGTCAGGCTCGCGGTGGTCGTTGACACATGCCATCGTATCCCAGTTGCGTAGATCGATGCTCATGCTGTTGCTCACTGGATTATCTGGCCCAGAGTCGATTATTTACAGACCGACACTATATAGCTGGAATATTGCTGAGTGCGGCGTTAAACTAAACTCACTACTCAGTGCACTGTTTATAACACCCCTAAACTAGGCTTAAATGTATTGGGCTGTTTTATTACATATGAGTCGTCAATGCCGTTATCTCTGGCGGGCTTTGTTGAACTACCATTGTGACATATTATGGTCACGTGTTTCTTGAGGTCTTCCTGCCTTAGGGTATTGCTCAATGACGTCCTTTAAGTGGAACGTATAAATATGTACTTGGATCATCAACATTATTCATGTTTCTTCTTCTTCAGGTCCAGATGATCCTTTCATCATATCCACTTCCACTGCCGTCATCTTTGCGCTTATATGTGGATTACTTGGTTTGGGAATATACTACTTAAGGAAAAGACTCAGAACATCGCGTGGAGATGGTAGATACTTATTCCTATCTTTGATATCTCAAACACTATGTTTCATGCATGCAAGAGGGCAGTTCAAAGTAGAGGGCTCCGTTGAGAGTATGATGCAGGATGCCACATAATGGGTTGTTGGCACAGGGGTTCGAATCACTGTTTGGGCAATAATTTCAAAAAAATAAAAATGAAGACTTTTGCAATCATATGTTGTTTTGATATGTTATGATTAACATATATTTCAAATTTAAACGAAATTAAACTTTATTTCTTCACCGATTTTCAAAAAATACTAACCCAGTAGCGTTAAGCCGTTGCTCATAATATCGACCACAGGTTTATTGTTGTCAAATGTATATACAGGCGGCCGTCATATAGCTAGAATACTGTTTTGTGTGACTTTAAACAACAAACAAACAATGCTGCAATGGAAACAATAACTACGTGTACATATTCTACTCACACTTTGCTAAGGATCACAAAATTCACTACTTTACTCAAACGTAGATCTATATTTTGAAATTGTATCCATTTAAAACTGGATAAATAATGATATGGTAATCCCTCTTTAGGCAAACAGTCACTTTAATCTTACCCTATGCACTTGATACATGAGTAACCATAAACATGGTTTTCAAGAACCAATCAACCATTTTGCATATCGTGGAACGAGTCATTAATAGCAGGTATGGGATCAACAAGATCCAGTGACATACTGAAACCTAGGATCCATGCTGACAATGAGCTTAGATATTTAAACCAAATTTGACCCCACATCATAGTTTTCTGTTGAATCCATGAATTGATCCTTAGCAAAGTTTGAATAGTATACATATGCGCGTTAATATTTCCAGTTCACGACCAGGAAAGCCCCGAAACGAGCCCACTAACACAGACAGGCGGTGAAGGCGGTGATGAGGTAGTGGACATGGACATCACGGAACCTACAGACGATGCCGTTTCAACTAACACGACAGTGGCCAGTGTAGACTCGGGACTTGATAACAGAGAGAGTATAAACTCGTCCTCCATCGTGCCATGTGCATGTAACCGAGATGGCGGTGCAGCGGAAGCATGCACTCGATGCACGGAGCTAAAGCAGCTGCCCCCAAGAAATGACGCTGGTAGTTTGAAAACGGCAATCGTGTGTGGCTGAGAGTGAGTGAGTGATGGTTGGTTGGTTGGGTGGTTGAGTGAATAAGTGAGTGACTGGCTGAGTGAGTGAGTGAGTGGCTGAGTGAGTGAGTTTTGGGTGGCTGGCTGGCTGTTTTTTGGATGAGTGACTGAGTGAGTGGGTGAGTGAGCGAGTGAATGAGTGAGTGAGTCGGTGGGTGGGTGGATGGGTGGCTGAGTGAGTGAGTGGGTGGATGGGTGGCTGAGTGACTGAATGAGTTTTGGGTGGTTGGGTGGGTGGTTTTTCGGTGAGTGAGTGAGTGGGTCTATAACACTAAGTGAATGAGTGCGTGAGTGAGTGAGTGAGTGAGTGAGTGAGTTTTTATTAAATGTGCCCATTGTTGATTTGTTGATCCTGTATATTGTTATTTGGTTTAGTGTCAGCTTAAATATACTTGTCTAAAGATCCATGGTTGTGCAACCCATGGAATACAAAAGTCATGGACATGTTATTGAAACCTTCCCGTCATCCTCTGTGTAATATACCCATGCCAAAATTATTGTCATCCAAATACTGAGACTAACCCTCACGAACACCTATGTGCTAGATATTATCCATGTTGAATGTATCGGTCCCTTTGTATTGTTACCTGGAGTCGTGTAAGCTTCAATGTTTGATATGGTTGTGAAAAAGTCTATTGTTTTTCAACCCAAGGAAAAGGAAAAAATATGACAATGTTGTTAACCCTCATCCTATTTAAATAAACAGGTGTGATATTTGTCTTCTTTTAATTCTGTGAAATACGTACTACACGTCCAAACCTGTGCAGAACTCGATATATATTCTTATTCAGACTGTTTGTGTCGGACTTTACTGACACCGTGGAGATCTGAAGACTTCCCCTACTTATCGTGTTACACCCGTGGAAATGTGGGGAAGAATTGGCCTTCAGGAACCCATGCTTGTCGTATGGGGCGACAAACGGGATCGGGTGGTCAGGCTCGCTGACTTGGTTGACACATGTCATCGTATCCCAACTGTCAATTGCGTAGATTGATGCTCGTGTTGTTGATCACTGGATTGTGTGGTTCAGATTTGAATATTTAGAGACCGCCGCCATATGTAACTGGAATATTGCTGAGTGTGGCGTAAAACTAAACTCACTTACTCAATGCCTTTGTGTCCCAATTGTGTAGATTGACACTCATGCTGTTGGTCACTGGATCGTCTGGTTCAGATTCGATTATTTACAAACTGCAACCAAACCAGACTTATTGTGTTATTTTTTTTATATCAAAGTGATAAAACGCGTTCCATAATCATATATAAACTGACCATTATACTGTCGGTAGACAAAGCTGATCGTTCAAGTATTTCACAATCGGAATGTCCACTGTCATGCTGCAGTCTGTACACCATGCAGTGCGCACAGCGGAATGCGCAATCCAGTGTATATCTAAGGCCTATATATAGATTTATTGGGTATTCCAGACAGACCCAGTGTTGAAATAGCGAGGACTCACACAATCCCATCTTCGTGAATTATCTGACATGTGTAGTATTTGATACTATTTGGTTCCATTTTGAGTAATAAACTCTGAAACTTGATAAGATTGAAAAGAAAAGGCTTTGTGTCTGAGTGGCTGAAGGAAGCTGCGCGTTCTCCATAATATCAGTCTTTGCTTTGCCAAGTTCATATTCGTATATGTACAGATCGTCATTATTTAGTCGAAGCATTATTGAGACCATTTTAAGTTAGTAGGAAACATAACGATGCACTGTTGCATGTACTGAATGCTTCAGCGAGTGAGTGAGTAAAGTTTTACGCCGCTTTTAGCAATATTCGCGCAATATCGCGATGGGGGACAACATAAACCCATGTTGGGAATCGAACCCGTGCCTTCGGCATGACGAGCGAACGCTTTAACCACCAGGCTACCACCGCCCCATGTACTCAGTGACAATGGATCATACATTCTATACTTAAGCATGAAAGACTAAGATGCCTGAATATGAATATAATATTAGATAAGAATAGAATAGAAGAATAGAAGAGTGATATTTTCAATGCAGTGACCCACAGCTGATGTGAAATTATCATAATTGATTTTGAATGGAACTGGAAAAGATGTCAAGGTAATGATCTCCAGATGTTGCAGTTTTAGATCGGGCTAGCCCTACACAGATACTGTCAACGTGGCAGTTCATAAACGGATTTAAAAGGTTAGTTTTCGCTGTCTTGGGTGATCCATGATTTTGGCTTGGAATTGCGGATTTCGATTTCGGTGAGTCCTGGCGTATAACATTTGAAATAATGATCCGATTGTGACCATTATAGCTCATTTATTTTGTAGGGAAATCATCTCGCTTTTGATCCGTAGGCCTCGACGGGGCCTTAAAAATAGTTTACGTGGTGAAATCTAACTTAGATTGAGGAGGGGGTGGTTCCGTCGTTACATCCCTTTCCTTTTATGTAGTACTATAGTTTGGCATGAAATACATGTGGATCCGTTTTTTTGTAAATATCTCTTCATCCAATGACCCAATCGATCTTAAACTGTGCAAGTGGATGTTTTGTCAGACAACCTAATCACATTGCGGCACCAGTCGCAAACGAATCAAAGTCTATTTATTTATATAACAATACAGTTGTATTCCTTAGAAAGGTTTTGGTCGTAAGATACTAAGGCATCATTGACATCATTCAGGGAAATGTGATATAATTTAAATCCAATAACAATTTCTTTACGATAAAGTTAAGATACTTAATGGATGGCGTCACATGCTAAGGACACCTGTCAGACATTACATCAATTGAACCCACGCCCGGAATGAGGCGATCAAAACAATCACGAAAAATAAATTATAGTTACATAGGCAACTTTTTTATTAGGCGATCACCGTGACTTTAAAAACTAGTTTCTGTTAAGTCACGGAGAAACATGAAGGTACATGTAAACACATTTATATTGAAAAGAATAACAAAAAAGATATTTGCAAAAAATGCAGTCCCAAAAGTGAGGTTGACTGACTGGTTTATGCACATGAAGCAGACCTTCTAGCTTTTCGAGGGAAAAATTAGGTCTGTGTCTGTGAAATCCAATCTCGTTTCCTCTTGTTCAGTCTGTACATAATCCCTATATATATATATCTACCACCTCTAGCAGTTGGTAGAAACTTGTGACCTAGATGTACCTCTACCATTGCTGGGATTGATGCCATTGACAAATTACCATTCCCAAAAGTAGTGTTCCAATGAACACTTTCAAATTACACCAATGAACACTTTTCAAATTACTATTATTAAGTGAACACGGTTAAATGTAGGTGAATACCTACTCAAATAGGTAAATGTAATTAATCCTGATTGATCACTCAGTTGATTAGTTAATCAAGACATCTCATCATTAAGCCACTAAACAAACATCAATCAGGTGCAAGGCCAGATTGGGGAACATCAATGGCAAAAAAAGGTCTGCCTTATGTGCATAGTTTGTGCGTCATGTGCAGACACCGACAGACTATAGGAACGTGTGCAAATGTACTGCGCACTCAGGGGATTCCCCACAAAATGAACACAGCACGCTACAATTCTTTGTGTAAACTGCACAGTAAGACATTTGAATAGTGTCTATTTGAAGTTATGTCAGCAAAGTTGTAACATGCCTTTGTGCGCCCAACCCAATAACATGATCATAATGTTCAGAGTTTCCCTAGCCTCTGAAGGGGGACTGGGTTTTCCCCACCCCTCTAAAAGGGAACGGGGCTTTCCCTGCCTCTAAATGGGGACTGGGGGTTTCGCAGCTTATGGGAAATAGAATATCCTCGTATCATCGTTTTCACAATGAGTGAATATAACATGACCAGTTGTGCTATTTACGTAATATTGAAATGAAAGTACATCAAATTTCCGTAGTATTCTAATGACCGCAAGTATACCATTATATTGAAAACAAAAGTCACAGTTTATCTTTTGTTCACCAAAAAAACCAAACAAACACACACAAATGATCTCACTTTAAATTCAAAATTATAATATAAAGTTAGTTGTCAAGCATGTATAACACATGAAAGAGTATACACGGAGAATTCCGAAATACTATTTTTGGCAACCGTAATGATTGACAAACGGAGGCTAAAATAAATTGACGCATGTACATTTGAGCTACTGATGCAACAGGAGCTTATTACCCATATTTATTTTACTTCTTTGTCAATTCAAAATTTCAATAAATCGAGTTAGCTCCAGTGCAGAACAACTTCATAGCACCTTGACAGTCGCAAATCTATTTTTAGCTACTACGTCGATATGCACATTGATTTATTGACGAGGTTCTATATTTAAATTGCATGCAATACATTACATAACGTATAGGAACATGCTTTTCACGGCTGCGTAGTTTATAGGAAACCATACGAATTCTAACAGCAACTACAGTAAGTATCGTGTTCAATGTTCTCAGCAGTACATGTTGTCATGGTAACATGATGTGTACCTAGCTGGTCTTTGAGAATGTCATGTTGGGTGTTTGTTGATATAGTCCAGGTGATAAGTGAATGGAGTTACCTGTACAGGGCCCCGTTCCACAAAGCGATCGTGGAGCTACGATGATCGTAACTCCCATAATTTAACACAGACTTACGACAGACGTAGCGCTACGATCGGTTTGTGGAATAGGGACCAGGGCCTAGATTTTCGAAGCTCTCTTAGCGCTAAGATAGTCGTAAGGTAATGTTAATGTATGGCACTTACGACTATCTTAGCGCTAAGAGAGCTTCGGAAATCTAGGCCCTGGATGTCATTGAAGCTCGGGCCCTGGGCCTAGATTTTCGAAGCTCTCTTAGCGTTAAGATAGTCGTAAGGTAATGTTAATGTATTGGACTTACGACTATCTTAGCGGAAATCTAGGCCCTGGATGTCATTGAAGCTAAGGGCCCCGTTCCACAAAGCGATCGTAGCGCTAAGGTGATCGTAACTCCCTTACTTTAACACAAACTTACGACAGTCGTACCTTCGAGCTACGATCGGTTTGTGGAACAGAGCCCAGGTGGTCACATATTTTGACTGATGACGTTCGGTCAATGCAGAGACATTCCATAAACAGGCTGAACTTATATCATTATACCTTTTATGGGTATTAGATAATCATTGTAATATATATATTTCCTTACCACTTCCCTGACATTGATGATAGCTGCGTTAGACCCTAACTCACTGACAATATAATTGTGCTCTTCTATTGTTTATATGTAAACCATACATTTTGATGTCAAGATGTCCATACTGTTTACCGGTCGTCATAGGTGAAACGTTACTGATTTATTTTATATTTCCATTTAGAAATATGTAGTTGTGTGAAGTTAAGAATATGAAGCGCTGCCATTGTTGAATGAAGAAACTGCGAAGCTTTGGGGACTTTGTTTCAAATACATAGGGTATTTCTAACAATACATTCGAGTCGTGCAAAATTTTCTTTTTGTGTCAATGTATTTACTATTTCGGTATTTTCACTTGGACTTTTAATCACAATATTTTATTGTTCATTCAAATTCTTTTAGATGTAAATATCTTCACGTAATGAACTCTCAGGTTCAGAAAGAGACATTGTCTTATATTGAAATGACATTTTAAGAATGTTGTTTTTAGGAACGCAGAACGTATGTAATTTACACACACAGACACAGACACACACACACACAAACTTAGTCACAGAGACGCAGAGAGAGACATGGAGAGACACACACAGCCAAGTACACACATCTATAATATCTAAGAACACTGTGACAGGACGTATGTAACACACACATACACACACACACACACACACACATACGCACGCATGCATGTACGCACGCACGCACGCGCGAGCACATTTACACACAGTCACGAAGACACAGACAGACATGTCAACACGCACACACACACACACACACCTTATCTAAGAACGCAGGGCGTATGTTGTTTACACACATTCTCGAACAAACAGACACAAAGTCAAACGCAGACATGCCAACACACACGCACATACAGACACACAAACACACCTACACGCACAGACACGTGGGCACGAACACCCACCGACACACTCACTTATCTAATAACGCAGCACTCACCTTTTGTTTTACAGTTAAGGTGCAAACTCATCATAGTATAGATTTTGCACTTATCCAGTGAAACATAGCCAAGAAACACTATTCAACTCATAAGATTATATTCACGTTATATCCAGTGTTGTAATAAATCCGTGTATAACATATATATAGAGAGAATAACATTCTCTCATGAAAGTCGTAACGTTGTAGCTTGGGTAAATGATCCACCTGCAATTACCTCACACTGTGACAGACCGAGACAGTCATCGTAACACTATCTAACTACACGGCATAAATAGCCACCTCTAGTGATAACCCCACCTTAGTCCATGCAGTAAACCATCCGAAATCTGAGTTATCATGAAATACTGCAAGCGAAACATCACTCGGCCTCTGTTCTGTGCTTCAAGTCAATGCTTGTTAGTGTCCATGACTGTTTAAAGTAAAATCACACCGTGATCGTACCATGTAGATATATATCTGGGGTTTAGATTTAGGTATTAACTCAAATGTTAGCCATTGTGTGAAGAAGTGAAAGGTCTTATGTTGAGAATGTTTACGGTAGTACAAATATCAAGTCGTTTTATTGATCAAAGCTTACCTGACATTTCAAAGGATTGGGATTTCTCGAAGAAAGAGTGTGAGTTCTCGAGGAACGGCTTGGGCTAGACTTTCTCCTAGTCTAAGTGACGTGGGAATTATAAATAAAATGAAAATTATTTTCTGAAACATGTTTTTTATCAACGGTTTGAATGAAAGTTTCTTTTAAATTACCTCTACCTTATCGACAATTGAACATCAGTGAATTCCTCTGTAGAGGCGGTTCACAATTTAGAGATTTTCACAAGAGGGACATTTCGGGAATACTTTGGGATACGAATGACAGTTGATTTTGACAACCTTTGCAGCTTCTTTAGTTTTTAGTTATTGGAATGCATGCACGGTGGCATAATCTCAAACACAACTATTCAGCTTTCAAGTTAGTATAAGCGTGCTTGCATTGAACCACGTCTTTACAGAAAGAGGTCTGTTTGGTACAAATACACAACGTATATACATCCTAATCTTTATACTGTCGTTTTCGAAATGCTAAGTTTTAATTTTAGCGTTTAACTTCAATTTCAGATAGAAATGTCTACGTTTAAGTGTTACAAGGACATCTGTGAACGGGGCGCTCAGTACTGCGAGAAGACCAGGGAAAGATGTTACTGGTGTAAGGATGCTTCTAACCAGTGTTGGACGACGGATATGCCACGCCAGTGCAACGAATTCTGTGAAGGTAAGTTCAATAAATTCAGTTGCGTAGATCGATGCTTATGCTGTCTGGATTGGCTGGTCCTGACTCGATTATTTACAGACCGCTGCCATATAGCTGGAATATTGCGGCGTTAAACAACAAACTTACAGTAATGTGTTAGTTTGTGTCACAAAATAGTGACACATGCTTATTATTGTGTTGGAATTTTACAATCGAGTCGTTTTTTAAAGAGATTTGTTATGGATATAACAAAGGTGCTTTTCGTGGTTATTTAAAAAAATAAAAAAAATATATATATATTTTTGGTTTCAGATTTATGGCAACAATTAAAGAACCAGTCATACAGTAGAGGATATACAGATGGAATTTCAGCTCATAACGGTAGATAATCGCCAATGTTGAATATGGATCTCATTATAAATAATACGTCATATTGTCAAAGCTATTTTTCCCTTTACACAAAACGGAATTTGTTTCTGACGATTGTCAAGATTGGTATTATTTCGCATTGATTTTCTATAATTGATTAACTGGTCAATTTATATCGATAAATGTAGTCGTCATCAAGAGTTCATGGCAAAAACTGTTTATAAGACCCGTGAAGATCCGGGTTAGAATTGATCTTCAGTAGCCAATGCTTGTCGTAAGAGGCGAATAACGAGATCGGGTGGTCAGGATCGCTGACTTAGTTGACACATGTCATAGTATCCCAACTGCGTAGATCGATGCTCATGCTGTAGCTCGCTTGATTGTCTGGTCCAGACTCGATTATTTACAGACCGCCGCCATATAGCTGGAATATTGCTGGGTGCGGCGTAAAACTACACTCACCATTTATCATACCCACATTTGACTTTATGTATTGGGCTGTTTTATAACATATGAGTCATCAATCGCTGTTATGTCTGGCGCACATTGTTGAACTGCCATTTTGACGTATTATGGTCACGTGTTACTTGAGGTCTTACTGCCTCTGGGTATCGCTCGATGGCGTTCTTTAAGTGAAACGTTTAAATATGTATCTGCATCATCAACATTTTTCATGCTTCTTCTTCCTCAGGTCTACATTATCCTTTCATCATATCAACTTCCATTGCCGTCATCCTTACGATACTATGTGGATTACTTGGTTTGAAAATATACAAGTTAATGAAAAAACTCAAAACATCACGTGCAGGACATGGCAGATATTCAGGTACTAATTCCTATCTTTTTGATCTCATACACTATGTTTCATGCGTTGCATGAGGGCAGTTCAAAGTAGAAGGCTCCGTTGAGAGTAGGATGCTGGATGTCTAGAAGGTGTCGTAGGCAAAGGGGTTCGAATCACTGTTTGGACAATACTATTTAAAGATCAAAATCTAGACTTTTGCAATAATATATTCTTTTATATCTTATGATTAACATATATTTAAATTTTGAACGAAAGATTTCAGAAAATTCTACCGCTAAACTTTATTTCACAGTTTATTAAGCACTACTAACCTAATGGCGTTAAACCGTTGCTCATCATATCGATCACCGGTTTATTGTTGTCAAATGTAGAATATTTACAGGCGGCCGTCATAAAGTTCGAATTCTGTTTGGTGTGTCTTTAATGGTAACAATAACTACATACATGTGCATTTAATATGTCCAGTCTATGACCTGGAAATCCCGAACAGTCCCGAAACAAGCCCACTAACACAGACAGGCGATGATGAGGTAGTCGACATGGACATCACGGAACCGACAGACGATGCCGTTTCAACTAACACGACAGGCCGGCATGCCAGTGTAGACTCGGGATTTGATAACAGAGAGAGTATGAACTCAACCTCCACCATGCCATGTGCGTGTAACCGAGATGGCGGTGAAGCGGAAGCATGCGTTCGTTCCACGGATCTAAAGCAGCTGCCCCCAAGAAATGACGCTGGTAGTTTGAATGCGACACTCCTGTGTGGCTGAGAGCGGGTGAGTGAGTGAGTGGGTGGCTGGGTCAGTGAGTCAGTGAAGGTCCACTGTTATGCACCCCATGGAATACAAAAGTCATGGAGCTGTTTTTGAACCCCTCCCGTCATCCTTAGAGTAATATACCCATGCCCATAAATATTGTCATCCACATTCTGAGACTAACCCTCACGAACGCCTTTTTCCTGATATTGTCCATGTTAAATGTATCGGTCCCTTTGTATTGGTATCTGGAGTTTAATATGGTATTAAAAGTCTATATTGTTTTACAACTCAAGGAAAAAAATGACAATGTTGTTAACCTTCAATCTATTTTAATAAACAGGTGTGGATCTTTGTCTTCTGTTAATTCTGTGAAATACATACTATACGTCCAAACCTGTGCATATCGGTTATTCAGACCGTTTGTGTCGGACGTTACTGACACCGTGGAGATCTGAACAGTGCCCCTACTTATCGTGTTACACCCGTGAAGATCCGGGTTAGAATTGGTCTTCGACAACCCATGCTTGTCTTAAGAGGAGACTAATGGGATCGGGTGGTCAGGCTCGCTGACTTGGTTGACACATGTCATCGTATCCCAACTGTCGATTGATGCTCATGTTGTTGATCACTGGATTGTGTGGTTCAGATTCGAATATTTTCAGACCACCGCCTTATAGCTGGAATATTGCTGAGTGTGGCGTAAAACTAAACTCACTTACTCAATGCCTTTGTGTCCCAATTGTGTAGATTGACACTCATGCTGTTGGTCACTGGATCGTCTGGTTCAGATTCGATTATTTACAAACTGCAACCAAACCAGACTTATTGTGTTATTTTTTTTATATCAAAGTGATAAAACGCGTTCCAGAATCATATATAAACTGACCATTATACTGTCGGTAGACAAAGCTGATCGTTCAAGTATTTCACAATCGGAATGTCCACTGTCATGCTGCAGTCTGTACACCATCCGGTGCGCACAGAGGAATGTGCAACCTAGCGTTTACCTAAGGCCTATATATAGATTTATTGGGTATTCCAGACAGACCAAGTGTTGAAATAGCCAAGACTCACACAATCCCATTACCGTGAATTATCTGACAGGTGTAGTATTTGCTAAGATTTTTGAAAGAAAAGACTAAGTGTCTGAGTGACTAAAGGGCGTTTCGCGTTCTTCACAATATCAATCTTTGCACTCATGTTCGCATTTGTACTGATGGTCATTATTTAGATGAAGTACTAGTAGGACCATGAACAAAACGATGCAGCTGTTGTATGTACTCAATGAAAATGGTTAATTCATTTCATACTTAAAGGCACACTTCTCTAAAAGTCAATATTTCATTTCCCTCATTAATGCTAACTATCAGCCCCCAGCGAAGCTACCATGTAATTTATTCCGAAAAACTAAGATTACAATATGAAATTACTATAATCGAATGAATTATGCAACGTTGCATTAAATCGACTCTCGCGCCCTCTATCGATCAAACTTTATTTCAAGCGAACACCATAGATTTGTGTCCCTTGGAACGCTCTTTACGAATATCCTATAACGCAACATGTGATTGAGGCCAGTTCGGCAAACACCGACAACACCGCGTGCAACAGTTTTCGATGTACGGAGTAATCGTTTACATTCCATAAATAGCAAGTGTTAACTGTTTGGAAGCTGTGCGCCTCGAAGTTTCAATTATCGATTTCAGGCAAGTCGTAAGGAATAATACGTCTTTTATTGTATCAATAGGAAGCTAATTTGAGTGCATATGCCACAATATATATATATACTCTCCCCAAAAGAAACACATCATGAAAATAGCAATTTCATGTAGCAATGAATTAAAACGTGATTCATTTTACAAAAGGTTTTGCTCTGTTTATGAGTCCTATGGTGTTTATGTTTTGAAACATCACAACAAAACGCACCATCCGTAAAATACCCGTATTCAAAAGCATGATTTTCAATTGCGGCGTGAAGTGTCACAGAATACACAATTCACATGCAATGCACGTGAAAGTTGGTGATCAGATAGTCTCAATGATGGGTATAAAAGGTTGATCGCTGTCTGTCGATTATTCACTGTATTTGGAATATTGTTGACGAACGCAAAATGCCACGTCTAAGTGAGGCCAACCGTCATATCGCCATTGGTTTGCTTGAAGCTGGACAGTCTCAACGTGCAGTTGCCCGACGCATGAATGTTCACCAAAGCACCATTTCACGGCTCTGGGAGAGATATCGCCGGCAGAATGCGGTAGCAGATGCCCCTCGTAGTGGGCGACCTCGAGCGGCGGCGCAGGATCGCTACATCCGGGTACATCACCTGCGTCATCGAACAGCTACGGCGACCAGTACCGCTCGACAAATACCCGGATTGAAGAGGCTTTCTGCACAGACCGTCAGGAACAGGTTGAGAGAGGCTGGTTTACGTGCCAGAAGACCTTGTTTTGGCCCTGTGCTTCGACAACAACATCGTCGACATCGAGTTCAATGGTGCACCAACGTTCAGGCCTGGACGTAGAGGCATAGAATCTGGTTTCTACTGGAACGACGCGATGGAAGAATGCGGGTGTACAGACGTCGACGTGAACGTTTCGCCGACGCTTGCGTTTCCCAGGTGGAGAGATTTGGCCTGGACAGTGTTATGATGTGGGGAGCGATCACGTGCCGTAGGAGAAGTGATTTGGTGATGATCCAGGGCAACCTGACAGCTCAAGGGTACTGTGACGATATCCTACGCCCACACCTTCCAATCATTGATCGCCAGAGGGAGTTGTTTCAACAGGACAATTTCAGGCCCCACACAGCACGTCACACTAGAGACTTCCTCCAGAACCACAACATCAATGTAATCCCCTGGCCCTCAAGATCACCGGACTTAAAGCCGATCGAACATCTGTGAGATACCCTGGACAGACGGGTGCGACGCCGTAACCCTCAGCCCCAGACACTTCAGCAACTCGCACAGGCACTACAGGCAGAGTGGGCTGCGATTGGGCAACACGAGATTCTGAGACTTATTCGTTCGATGCCGAGGCGATGCCGTGCACTTCTGGATGCCCACGGTGGTCACACGAGGTATTGACTTCAGCGCCACCACACGTCTCCATGTGACACTCAAACTGACTTTCCTCGAGTTGGTGCCAAAGACGGATAAGTCTGCATGCCCATTGTGCAAGTTCGCTATATTTCATTGACTCATAAAGCCTACAAGATGTTTAAAAATAAACATAAACATACAGTTGAAATATATATATATTATAGACCAACATCGAAAAAACGTCGAAAAAGCGTGACATTGTGCCTTTAAGTGTTAAAGACTGAGATTTCTGAGTTTGAGAAAAGCGATATTTTCATTGCAGCGACAAACATTTGATATGTTCAGTGAGATTATCATTACGTCATGGCTCAATAAAGTTTTCTGTCCGCTATATTGCGACACAACCCAACAATGGCAATGTAAACATATGCATTTCACCAAATTCTTCATTTCGGGGTAGAAACTTCACACCGATCCAGCTGATCGCCAAGTCTGTCAGTACATCGGCACCGAACGAGCGATTCTGTGAGGGCGAGATCACCTGTTTGAAAGTACTCGAGTTACGAGTTGGTACCTGAATTCATGCTAACCGACACTGTAAATTGTTTTTTCTTCATTTACGCTCTCTTCTTTCCCATTGCGCGCCTTGTTTGTAGTTATTATTACACGTTCGTCAGCAACGAGTTTTGTCGTTTACCCCCCAAAGGGTCCCATTGTTTGATGAATAGTTTTGTAAATGCTGATGTTATTCATACAACGACAATAAAAATATTGACACCGATACAAATATGTGTGTCTCGTTTTATGTTTTATTTTCGATTATCGAACTATGTCTTACCGGCGTGCCTGAACAAAGACGTGAACAGTCTTTAGTTTACATTTGGGAGAATTTGGACTTCGTTTATGGATGTTGATGTTAAAATTATCAGTATGTAATAAATATACTACTTCTTGTTACCCTGCCTGGCCTGCTCCGAGTAATTATACTGTGTCTCACCAGGGAGTCTATGTGTTCCTGTGATCTCAGAGGACTAGCACTGTATAAAGGAGAAATAGTACAAGCACGTAGGTACATACGCACGCACGCATGTACACGTTGGCATGCAGGCATTATGTAAGTGCAATAATCCTGAATGCAACGTTAAACACCAGACTTTATTTCTTCACAACGGTGTTTCAATGTGTAAAGAAGACGTTAACCTATGTATTATGTTTCACAAACACGCATTAATGCCTGGTCACGTGACAAAAGTCTTAATGCATTACGGGTTGTTCTGCTCCAATAAACGTTCTATTGAATCCAGCCCGCACGACGACAATGACCTTGGCACAAATGTTTAATACACACTCATGTCATTGTCCACCAACCCACCTAAAGTAACTGGACTAGCATCATCTCTAGTTGATGGTGATTCATTTAACACAAGCTTACGACACTGTCAAAATCTATGTACAGGAAACAGTCAGTATAACCCATGCAGCTTTAACACATATTTTGTCACAAGTAAGCAACAGGTTAATCTTTCTCTCAGATACATTCGTGTAAAGTAGGACGACACAAATCTTAGCATATCCCTGATGAAAGTCCGTCATATGATTCGGATTATGTCATATTAGGAATCACTATCTAATAGTAATGACGCCACGTGTTGGCGAAAAGGATGACCGTATTCTGTCCCTCACAACCGAATCAAAGTAATTTAAGTTAGGTTAGTAGAAGTAGAAGTAGTATATTTATTGACATAGCAATGCAGCTGCATTCCTTAGAAGGTTTTTTGTCCTAAGATACTAGTATCTCATGTCTGGTGTCCCCCGTTGTGATATTGCTGAAATATTGCTAATAGCGGCGTAAAACTATACTCACTCACTCACTCCTTATATACTAAGGCATCATTCACAACAGTCAGGGTAATGTGATATAATTTAAATCGATTAACAACTTCTTACTATAAAGTTAAAATATTTAATTTTATTTAATATTTAATCACATTATGATGAGTTGTCAAACAGCTGCTTACTTCCGAGGACATAACCTTATCATCATATTAAATCAAGTATGATTCATTTGCGCATGCGCGCTGAGGAACGTGTGCAAACGTACTGCGCACTCAGGGGATTCCCCACGAAATGGACACAACACCTGCAATTCTTTGTAATGTAAACTGTATTCTTTTTAGCAAGAAATTTGAAAGGTGTATATTTGAAGTTATGTCAGCAAAGCTGCAATATGCCTTTGTGCGTTCGTCACAATAACATTATCATAATGTTCAGGGTTTTCCCGCCCTCTAAAAGGAAACAGGGTTTTCCCTGCCTCTAAATGGGGACAAGGGGGTTCCCCGCCTCTGGAAAATGGAATATCCTCGTATGATCGTAACGAGTGAACATAATCAGAGTAGTTGTGCCATTAACGTAAGATTGAACTGAAAATATCCATAGTATTTCAATCAGAGCATGAATAATTTGGCACTCAAGCGTGATGTGTTTTCTATAGAGCTAAGTTTAGTCACTGCGTGTCTGGAGACTTGGCTGACTAAATGAAGCACTTCTATATTAGGTATAACACACGTATCTAGGAAACTGTAATGCCCGATCCAAATTTTGAAGTAAAAGATACACCTCTCATCTCTGTACAGCTCTTCCTGTTCAGTAATTCTGAGGTAGGTAGTTGTATATTTGAACTCCCTTACACACATGTTTGAAACTTGTATTGTTAATGGCAAAGTTTAGGTTTATTTAGTTTCTTAATGATCTATATTGTACCAAGTTAAGCAAATAATAATGTCCGGTAATGATGCGTTTTAGTTAATGATCTACATGTATTTGACTCATCACTGTCTCTAAAGGTCATCGTATCTGTGTGTGTCCTTGTCGTTTGTACTGGTAATTGTATACTTTCAGGAATATGTTATGAACTTTGACTACTGTTTTTGTGCATATTAATATTTTCTAGATCGATATCGATTATCAGAAGAGCAGAATGTCGAAAATGGTGAAGCGAGGGTTAGGTGACTCTCCACCTCGTCCCCCTAAGAAGAAAAAAAATTCTTCCCCCAGAACAACTGTTGAGCAGGTCGGGGAGGAGGGCGAGAGCCGGACCCCTGCTCCACAGAGAGGTAAGTGAAACACATTATATACATATTAAAAATTGAACAATTACATATACAAAAGCGATACTTATTGCATATTTTGAAGATAAAATTATTTATAAATATAGTATGAGGTTTATTAAAACAGTCAATATAAATTTATGAAACAGAAAGGGGAAGTAAAACCTTTTTTCACTGAATAGTATTGTAACGATTGTCACAGTATTTGTGGTTGCAATTTCTCTGTAAGCTTCAGTACATTTTGGGGTTGAGTCCTACACTCAAGATTCACCGGGTGGGTGGGGTTGCCTCGTGGTTAAAGCGTTCGCTCGTCACGCCGAAGACCCGGGTTCGATTCCCCACATGGGTACAATGTGTGAAGCCCATTTCTGGTGTCCCTGCTGTGATATTGCTGAAATATTGCCAAAAGCGGAGTAAAACCATACTCACTCATTCACTGACTCAAGAGGCACCACATGCAGCACACACTGTATAATACAATTAGAATAATAGTTCTATAGTATGTGTCGTACGTACGAATGGTTCTGTGCCTTCCTAACATTCGTCACATATGCTTAAAGTTTACTAACTGGAATATATTTGACAGTTTAAAAACTTTGCTGTAGTTCAAGTAATGTCCGCTCAAATGTTAATGAGACATTATTAAACAAAACCCATAATCTATTTAAGGTGAAGTGAGGATAATTTTTTTTACAAAAATTATTTCAGCCTATTAAATATCTCTGTATACTTTCCACATGACCCACCTAAATAATGCAATTTTAGCAATAGCATAATACGGCTTTGTCAAGAGTGAGTGAGTGAGTTTAGTTTTTCGCCGCACTCAGCAATATTCCAGCTATATGGCGGCGGTCTGTAAATAATCGAGTCTGGACCAGACAATCCAGTGATCAACAGCATGAGCATCGACCAACGCAATTGGGATACGATGACATGTGCCAACAATGTCAGCAAGCCTGACCACCCGATCCCGTCAGTCGCCTCTTACGACAAGCATGGGTTACTGAAGATCAATTCTAACCCGGACCTTCACGGAACGCTTTGTCAAGAAGATAGCCTCTGCTAAGATCGATCCACAAAATCCTGGCTAGAGTTGTCATCCCAACATGGGAGGTGATTTATGTGTGATTTGGTTTCTTATCACACGCCTTTATACCTTGTGTTTTAAACGTGTGCCTAACTTCTTCACCTACTGAATGATAGTATCATTATATGGAAACTGTCAAACACTTCACACAAGGGACTTAACCCTGTAATAACTACGTATGATACTTTCACAAATAATTCTCACAAACTCGAAAACAGTAAACTACGCTTATAACGAACAAGCTTATACCAAAATATCGAATATTTAGAACTATTTCTTTACTCCCTGCCACTTGCTATATATTTAAGTCGAAATAGGCATACCGAACTTCGGTTATAACAAACTATAATTTGAAGTCCCTTAATTTGAGTTCGTAATAACCGTAGTTTACTTTATCATCCAAAACCGTGCTCCACAGGAGATATTGCTTGTGTGAGATCAAACGATATCTCCTAGGAGATATCGTTTTGACAGTAGATTTTGTACAATGCCCCCACAATGCTATGACGTCATGAACTTGATGACGTCACAATGCTATGATATCGCTGCATTGCAAGTCTAATGGCAGTACTGTGTTCAGAGATGTACATTTTTCATTGAAAACTAAACAAGAGTGATTTTTGATGATAAATAGAATCTCACCCTTGTGTCTTCTGATATCAAATATATCAACACTCGTTGATAAAAGTAAAAATAGCTTTGTAACTTTATTAACTCGATGTTTGATATCAAAAGACACTCGGGTGAGATTTTCTATGTACTTACAGTTATTTATTGCATGTGTGCTAGGGCTGGCTATCGATATAGATCATAGGGAGTTGGAGATCGATAATCGTTAACGAAATACCGATCGATTATCGATAATTATCGGAGACGTAACTTTGAGCAAAATGCCCAAAAATGTCTAAGAGAAATATATTTCACATCATTTGAGCGTTGTGACATGTTTTTGTATGGATTATTAACAAAACAACCTCCTGAACATAATTTAGAAGCAGACCATGAATGAAATCTTAATAATCATTGATATTTTTCCTATCGACGATATTTCCGATTATCGATGTTTAGCTAGCCCGAATGTGTGCTGTATCTGTGTGTACGTTGTCTGCTCCAAATGTTTTGTATATCAAATATTTGACACAACCTCTCTGTGATGACTTTACAATCAGTGTTGCTAGGGAATAAATAAGTATCATATTTCTCTTCCAGTAAGTCCAAATCCGGACATTCGCTTGACCAGGTCCATGACCCGGAAGGACAGAGAGCCTGACCAGCTGAAAGACCGCCAAGAGAGGAGCGAGGCGATGGCATGTGGCTCTGACCAATAAACGGACCAATCATTTTAAACAGTTGTGTTTCATTTTGCTAAACTATCTCAGAAACATATACAGTACTACATGCAATATTTAATACCATTATATTGTCAATGTTTAAAAAATGTATAAGATAGAATGTTTTCCACCTTACCTATGTATTGGTAACCCGTGTAAAGATAGTCTTGTTAGACTTGTGTCATCTAAGGATGATGTTTTGATAAGTATTGCTACTTTTTCTTTAGAAGGGTATATTATGCCAGTACATCGTGCAAAAATGGTTCCATAGTTTTCAAGGCAATAATGTATGACTATTACTGGTTTCACCAGCATCAAACAAAATGTAAAATTATTCTGTAATGTGGGCCATGGCCTTGTATACTGAAATAAAACTGTCTGTCTGTCTGACATGCAATATTCTGGGATAATAGACCATCGTATTTTATAATTACAAAGGAATGTATTGCATCGGCAGGTTATGTAGGTCGTACGATGTGCCTTAATGGGTCACATTTGACACAGAAGGTATCGTTTCCTCGTGCGTTATATGAACAAGGATATGAATCGTTTCCGGATATGAAGTCAAGGCTAAATATGGACGGGAAAACCAGGTTCGAAGATTACACATGTCACCTTGCCTTGGAACAGCGAGTTATATTTTTGTCCCGAATTAACTAATACGGACAGAGCTTGAGTGAGTATGGTTTTACGCCGCTGTAAGCAATACATGGGCTTCACATATTGCACCCATGTGGAGAATCGAACCCAGGTATTCAGCGTGACGAGCGAACATTTTATCCAACAGGCTACCCCAACGATCCATACACGAAGACATAAACTCGAATTTGTGCAACATTACAGCTTGGGTATCATATGATGAGTGAGTGAGTTGGGTTTTACACCGCTTTTAGCAATATTCCAGCAATATCACGGATGTGGGGGGACATTCAGACACACACATGCACGAACGCACACACACGCACATACAGCTTGTTCAGTTTGACCTGATCAATTGAATACCCAGCGTTGCGTGGTCTGGTTAGGTCTGTTATTGTGAAGGGGTGCATCTTTGTTAGTTGATTGTCAACTTGTCCGAACAGCCGAAACTAGGTCGCCGTTTGAGATCTCAGTGTCGAGAAATCGTCAACGTGTCTTAGCTTTCTTTAAAAACGAAGCTACAGATGGTCTAATGTTTCCGATTCATGCAATAGAAAAAATGATAACTGGACTAGATGTAGAGAGGGATAGCGAGAGTGAATCGGATTGTGAACGTAACTGACGTATACATGTGCATTGTAAAGTTAGTAAACCAAGCTAGACAGCATAGCATATGACTGTATAAACAATTTAATTAAAACTATTATTTTTTCAGAATTGTTGAATTCCGGGAGAAGTTCTGTAACGAATCCATGTATGCATGCTTCGCATGAACGAACGTTAATTACATTCTCTGCTCCCCTATTTATTGAAGTTAACTCGACCTGGCGTTTTTTCCATTTGACCTCCCGGGTCATGCATATGTAGAGTAGCTCAGGTCAAGCTGAACCAGCTAAACATGGTACCACTAAGATCACCGTGTCTTGACTATTCCCCAAAACAAATTCCGTTTGGCGCACCAGGCAAAAATATAATTATATGAATGATCACCGAAAAAATCACTAATGACACCAGGTGTTCGTGAAAAGAGTAAGCATGTCCTGCCCCACCGGCACAATAAATGCCAAAAAAATGGAAATATGTTTTGCCTGATACCGCGCAGCAGTACTCCTAACATGCGACACCGGCCCGTAAATATAGAACCATATAATTATGCTGGCAGTTATGACGTATTATGCAGTTTTCCTTATTTGCAGTAACAGAGGAGTCTACATTTCTAATATGAACGTGTTGTCACGTGCTACGTTCCCAATTTACCCGTAGACTAACATCTAGTCTCTGAAATGAACATATTTTACAGAAAAACACAGTTCCTAAATTGCAATCATAAAATATTATGAAAAGGAGCCCAGAGACTTTCTTGCTTGCCACATATTCTAGACTTGCATGGGCTCTCTTGGATTATATTTGTTTGTTTAGAACAGACTACCACAGCATTGTACGCGCTGCACAATACTATAGAAATGTACTTTCTCTGAAAGCATGTTACATTCCTGAGAATTACACTGCTACCCTCACAGTAGACTAACGGTTAGTCTCTGAATATATATAAATATGATAGTAACAAACAAGCTCATTCAAATTGAAAAGGAGCCCCAGGCAGACCAGAGATTCAGAACCTGAGGAAATCTAGACTTGCTTTATTTAGTGCTTTAGCACTGCAGATAGGGATCGGCAGTGGTGAAAATAATGTGGTTCAGGGACTGTGAGACAGACTACCCTCACAGTTACGGTGCATCTGCCACATTAAGACAATGGTGGCTGATAGTGTTGACAGACATTTACTATGATCTTAGTGGACTATGCTTTTACATTTACCATTGAAACAAGTTTTAGAGTGGTGCGGAAAAAGAAAACTACAGTGTAGGTGTACCCCAGGGTTGTGTATTCGGTGAGCTGTTATTACTGAACTACATTTTGTTAATGACGTACTGCTCAAGGCGGCTTAGACTACGAAAATTAAACACACTCATTACATTCTATGTTACAAATTGAAATTGGGGGAAGGGGTGTGTCTGATACTAATGATTTTAAGGGAGAGAGGTGAGAGGTGTCACCCACATTGTTTTGGGGAGGTGGGGGTCATCAACTTTGATAGCAGGTCCTTGCTCGCGTTCCCAAGTGAACTGTTGCAGCAGTCCAAGCGGGACAACACCTCAGATCTTACAAGATGGTGTGTTGCGTCAGTTGTTAATAGGTGGCGTATGATGGAGATATTGCTTATGAGATGATAGCAAATTTTACATAAGTTACTGACGTGTGGCTCCATGGAAACAGTAGAGTCTATCAACACACCCCAGGTTTTTTACTGTAAGGCTGATGGAGATTCGCCTATTTTAAATGAATTCACACCCAGTTTAGCTCTGTTGGCTGGTGAACGAGCAATGAGAATCATAGAATGTCTTGGTATCGTTCCATTTGAGTATGGCGGTCATCAAAGTCTTCACATTCCCTACACTCCTGCAACTTCTGATTGAGCATCATTGACATTGAGTTTTCTTAACAGTTGAGTGTCATCAGCATAATGATGTAAAGTCCCCAAGACTAGAGAGTGAATATCATCAGTCCCAACATCGAACCTTGCGGGATACCAAATGAAAGGTTCTGTATGAGATCTAACATTTTGGTTGAGCACAAATTGAGATCGTTCTGATAGGTGTCACTGTTGTTGGTACAATAGGTATGACGAAAGCCATCTTTGAACAGAGCCGCCGGTTTTGTAGACAATCACGAATCTGTTTGTGGTCTATCGTATCGAACGCTGCCGATAAATCAAGAAGAACGAGCACAGAAACCTGAACAGAGTCTACCATTCCAAGCAGAGTATCGATTCAAGTCAAAACATTTATTACACAACAGTCTCGTTTCCTGCTGACTGGGTTCCGTCCTATTGCGCAACTTAGAACAATAACCAGTCCAGAAATTTGAGACCAGTTCATTCAACTGGATGCATAAATATTAATGAGTATTATTTGATACATCTAAGCACTTGTATATTGCAAAACTACGCTCCTTCTAATCCTCGCAAACACGCCGTGCTCCGTGCACCGTGCTCTGTCGCACAGCGTGCTCTCACAAACGGAAATCTGGAAATCGTGGAAATCTCAAAACGAGGCTCTGCCGCTAGAAACGTTGGTACGGACTTGATATTATATCAATCACATTATGCGGTACAAAACTACACTGAATAAGCGCAAAGAACACGTAACAGGTGTAACCAATGAGCCAGATGAATTGTGAATCATCAAACGACCTCATCAAACTGGGGCAGTCTGTGACGTCTTAGTTAAGGTCATGCTGCCTACACCTCGCAATAGAATATAGAAATACGATGTTATTAAAGTTTAAACTTAACATTAACTGCTAAATACCAATTGCTTATGAAACAAGGTATTGGAATTCAATGTAACCATAGTTGTTTGTGGTGTCTCTTTTCACTTTCACACGAGAAAATTCGGATCGGCTGAAATGTAGGTCATTGTCTGAATAGGTTAATGAGACTCATGTTTCGGTTTGATATGAAGTAAGGTTGTCTCAGTGCTGTGATAAGCTGACTGGAATTCATCGTATAGACTGGTCTATATGTTTCTGTGAGCCGCCTCTTTCATAATCCAGCACCATTGGATGTCCTGGTTGTCTGCAAGAACCTCCGTCTAAATAGACTGGATTGTTAACACCAAGTGTTTCGGCTTGGTTTAGTTCATCGAGTGACCCGTGAAGGTCCGGGTTAGAATGAACCTTCAGTAACCAATACTTGTCGTATGAGGCGACTAACGGGATCGGGTGGTCAGGCTCACTGGCTTGGTTGACACATCCCATCGGTTCCCTATTGCGCAGATCGATGCTCATGCTGTTGATCACTGGATTGTCTGGTCCAGACTCGATTATTTACAGACCGCCGCCATATAGCTGGAATATTTCTGAGTGCGGCGTAAAACTAAATTCACTCACTCACTAGTTCATCTAGTACACTATCCATAATATGATATGAAAACTTCGGAAGTTAACAGTTTCAGTGTCACGTCTACAACGTCTTCTTTGATTGGCATTCAGGAAGTTGAGATGAAGAATGAGGACGGTTTTATCGATATAGAACTTCTTTATTCTGTATAGGGGACGTTTTGACATAGATTCCAATGCCGTTGTCAAGCAAGTGGTGAAACTCATTATAAACAGATTTTGCTTCTCGCCTCCGCTTAGCTATAATATCTAAGGTCCACGCATTACAGGTCCAGCCAGAGAGACCAATGAAATGACAGATAAGAAGTCGACCTCAGCCAACGAAACAACAGCTTTCTTGAGCCACACTGGACCAGTTTCCAACTGACGAGTTCCTTTGCAGAAATTTTTTTTGACAAGGATTTTCATTCAAATTTAATAATTGAACAAAATAACTCTCGTGACTTGGTCGTAAAGCCCGTAAATGCCGTTCGGAATATCCCGTGTTAACCTTTCGAGATTTCATCAGTAGAAAACACATTCCGACTGCCATTTCCCCGATCAGTTGAATGTCCCCTGTGACGTCCTCAGATCTTGTTTTGCGGTAACGAGAAGTAAGGTTTAATGAGACTACATTAAAGTCGTATATAGATTCAACCACGGATGCTTTGCAGTCCACCAAAAATGGATTTGCACTATAAGTAACAGAGTAGTCAAGACATATAAATACAAAATATAACAGACGTAATCTTATATAGTGCTTATCTAAATGAACGTGTTGTTTTTTAACCTGAAGCCGCAGAAATAACACTCGCTTATTCTAGTTGCTTGTTAGGGCATTTTGAGAAGCATATGCAAGATATTAAAATCCTATCATATTGATAAGTTTGATGGTTGTGAATGTGTGACTAACATCCAACGTCTTTCAGCACTAATGTCAGTTCCATTGGTTGCCAGAATTGTTAGATTCTACAACTAGGAATTTGGATGTTAACAAGATCGCACTCTTTGTCCCAATCACATGATCAAGAGAATGCAAATTACTCCGAACACAATCAGAAGATGGCTAACCTCCTTCAAGCCCTGCCCATTAGTTCCAGTCTTGGTATTTGTGTCTATATTTTCATCGTAAACGCTGATACCCTTGCTAAATGTATACTTGTAACCGAGATCAACTTTGGAATACTCTCCTTTCTTTAACCCATAGAACCTTACCGGGATAAGAAACGTAGCATTGCCTGGCCGTGAAAGGAACCTCAAGGGATCCCAGACATCAAGTTTGAATGTACTTTTATGCGCCGTGGTATTGAGAGAACCCCTTACCCTCCCGTAGTGTAGTTCCAATGACGACCCTGGTCCCCTCCTAACATCAAGGTCACCAAACAGGTAATCACCGTATTTCCCAACATAACAATCAAGACATTCTACCTCAGAATTCGTGACGTCGGAATTATTTTGGCTGGGTGATAGCACAGGGAACGCACAAGCCGTGGAAGAATTTAGCCAAGGTTGATCATCTGTTAATATATCAGAAATATAGAATGAGATCAGTCTTTCCGCAGTTTGTTCATCCATTGTTCCTGCTCCACTGGCGCTTATAAAGATTCCAATGTCCAAGTCGGGGTATAATACAAGGGAGCTGAGATAAGAAATCAAGTCGCCCGTATGCATGATCTGTTTATATCCTACAAGACAGAAACACAGTATGAGGATGTTAGATTGTCAAATGAAGTCGTTATTCACACATGCAAAGTGAGTGAGTTTAGTTTTACGCCGCTGTTAGCAATATTCCAGTAATATCACGGCGGGGGACACCAGAAATGGGCTTCACACATTGTGCCCATGTGGGGATCGAACCCTGGTCTTCGGCGTGACGAGCGAACGCCTTAACCACTAGGCTACCCCACCGCCCTTCATACATGCAAAGAGGTTCAGACATAATCATATATTTTCCGTAGTCAATCAATGTTGATATTACAATAATGAATGTTTCGAGAGTGCGTCACAACTTACACTTCCTTATGACCATAGTTGTTTGTACAGTATATCGCTCTTGAAAGATGATTGGTGTATGACTTGAAATTTGTATGTTTACGATTTTCATTTTTTACATTATATTTTATTTTATGTCACAAACCCCTTGATTTCTGTGGACAATTACACCTTTTCTCCGATAGAAAATCAATACTTCGAAGTATGAAAAATTCAGGCACATTTTGAGAGTCAAAGTTGCATTTTCTCTAGTGTAAAAAAATATAAATCGGGTCGAATTGTTTTTGCAATGAGTGAGTGAGTGAGTGAGTTTAGTTTTATGCCGCACTCAGCAATATTCCAGCTATATGGTGGCAGTCTGTAAATAATCGAGTCTGGACCAGACAATCCAGTGATCAACATGATGAGCATCGACCTACGCAATTGGGAACCGATGACATGTGTCAACAAAGCCAGCGAGCCTGACCACCCGATCCCGTTAGTCGCCCCCTACAAGCATGGGTTACTGAAGGTTCATTCTAACCCGGACATTTACGGGTTTCGGTAATGAGCAGTAATGAGAAACAAAAATACTTTTAACGGGTAATCCTGTGATAAATACCGTGTTGGGAATAGGCAACAAACATCATGCAAGTATTTTCAATCTATTATTGATTCTTACCTCTATATGTCGATATATACCATCCATAACCGTATCCATACTTCAGGTCCATCACAGGATATGCCGGTTTGGACATCGCTAAACCGTCTACTACACTCTCAATGGCTTGAAATGCCCCCGCAAGTGTTAGTGGGTTAACCAACATGAAGTTGTCTTCCGTCACCCCTTGCTTCAGTAGAAAGTGCATCCACTTAGCCATGTCCTCTGCTGAACTCGCAATAGCACCTGCGGCCTCTCCTGGATGTATGCTGTGGAGAAGCAAGGTCACGACATCAGACCACATAGCCCATCGTCACGGGATACGAGTTCTACCTCGTTTATAGCAACATTCCAGCAATATTACGGCGGAGGACACCAGAAATGGGCTTCACACATTGTACCAATATAACCCGGGTCTTCCTCGTGACGACAAATATATACTGAGGGAAACAAATAAGGGAACAGTACTTTATGGCAGTGTTCCTTTATTTATTCCCAGATTTCCTCCAACAGCTCAAAGCTGGTGATGAAAACTGGAAAATATCACAGGAACGCTTGAATTTTCCTGTGTTTCTTTGTTTGTTTCTCTCCGTCGCCATGGAATATCATACGATGCTTATTGGGGCGTAAACCGATATTCACTATATTCACTCCTCACTTAATGTGAATAAATATATATCTCGCCTCAGGATTCATTCTCACAGTGTGTATCCTGTGTATATATTTAATCGCGTCTGCAACAGGAGACAATGGCAATAGAGCAAGGAACTACCCGAACCACGGTTGTGTGAGAGTGAATATTTCTTAAAAGAAAATCTTAGATGATTTTGTAAAGTATTCGCAGATAGCTATGCCCCTGCAGCACCACAACAAATCCCAATAAAGTGAGCAACGGAGACACGTGTTTTACTGGTTTTACACAGCCATGAGCGTTTCACACTTTGTGGCCATTATAATTCCTTCAATCATCCCCATTTCAACTAACGTATCGCTACATACGAGACTCTTTGGACCATACCGAATCTCCAATTGGACAAAGAAAACGTTTAACATGCGAAATGTACATAAAATGCGTTTTTCTTTTAAGGAACATCAAAAACAAATACGTAGATAGCTTGCCCCCTGATTCACTATTCAGACAATCTATTTTATTTACGTTATTTATGTTATTTTAGTAGAAGTGATTCAGTGGTTATATCTTACTCGTAAATGGAAGGATCCGTTAATGTGAGCTTGTTCTCCACGAAAAAGTACGGTTTTGCCATTCCTGTTGCATTTGGGGTAATTGTCTTTCCCAGAACACGTGACTGGTTCATCCCCAGTGGTTTGAAGATCCGTTTCTCCAGAGTTTCTGTGAAGGATTCCCCTGACAACACTTCTACAATGCGGCCGAGCAGAGCGTACGGCCAGTTGTTGTACTCTAGCGCGTCACGGAACGGTTGAACTTCCGGAAGAAATCGGAAACGCCTGTGAAAAGAACAATAATGTTAGAATCCAGATTTGTCACTGTGTTACCGTGCTGGCTTGTAATTTGTATAAGCAAAACATACCCATGGAAACGTCTGTGAACACAATAATATAACCACCACTCATATGTCATCAGTACATTATGGTTGGTAATTGTAGTAATTACATGATAGGTAATATGTTACAACAGATATAATATGCATACGTGTAGAAAAATACACGACCAAGGAATATTTGGTCTCATTCAAACTAATGGCACGACTGCCAATATACACCTCTTGCCAATATAAAATATTCATTTCAGCAAATGGTTGAGTTTGTAGGTTTACTGAAGAGTAAATTTATAGGTCATGTATACTAATGTAAAGAAAATAGTTAGAAAAACACATCTTGTACATTTTTTGTAAGGATAACATGGGTTTAAGGCTGATTAACGAAGGGTTATAATTCTCAAGAAATCCGACTATTTTATGGCCATGTGTGTTTTGGAGCACCTTGGGAACCACCCACCATGATTTGTAAGGGTGTATCTTACAACCGGTAGTGACGTCAGAAGTCACGTGACCAACACTCATGTGATTCTTCATAGTGTTTAACCTACCAGTATTACAACTATATGATCGTAGTTTGTAAATAATTCCGCCCGGAGAGCGGAAGGTCGCGGGTTCGATCCCCGACCGCGTCATACCAAAAGACCTTAAAATATGGTACTTTTTGGTCCCTGCCTGGCGCTCGGCATTAATGGGTACAACAAGGACTGGTCGGCTCGGAGTCAGTATAATGTGTCTGAGTGGGGTATTCATGCTTCACTGCGGCATGGTATCTCAGTGAGCTAGCACTATAAAAACAGCTTCAGTCTGGGCTAGTACAAGCAGCCGTACATACACATACACACGCATGTACGTCGTCATAGGAAATATTCTCAAGCACGACGTTAAACCCAATTTCACCTCACCTCACCTGTAAATAATTGAGCCTGGAGCGGACAATCGAGTGAATGACATTATGAGATACGGGCATGTGTTTATGAATCACTATCAAATGGTGACGATACCAGTTGTTCGCAAAAAGGTGAACGCATTCTGCCCCACCGGTGCATCCGTCAAAAACACATGCAAAGACTAGTCAAAGTCGCCAACGTGGTGCAGTGGACAGAGCTTGTGGTAGATGATTTGATCACCTTACTGTTTCACACCAAAATACGTTAACACAATTTTGTATAAATGGTATTTGCAGTTGAACTGTTTAACTGGTCGGCCTCGAGTCAATAACCCGTGGCGTAAAACGACTTGAAGTTAAAATGTATCGCAGTGGGTTTGCAGTATAAAACTGGAATAAGTCTGGATTAGTACAAGCAGACTAACATAAAACGTCACTATGTAAGAGGCGATAATCTTAAACGCTATGCATTAGAGCCTGTAAGTCTCGCGAGGCGCTACTTCCGGAACTAAACTAATTCCCGGCTCCCTTTTGCGCGCACCAACTTGCGATATGCGAGACGGGGCCCAGCTTACTTCCGGTACCAGATTCCCGGTGACAAACGTATAATTAAGAACCAGTTCTGGTTCCAAATTGCTCGACCGCCAAACATGACTTTACTAGATCGGACCAAGTGTACAACCAGGCTTAGATGTCACAGCTGTTGATAGTCGTAATGGTTGGCTAATTTAGGAATGGTTAGATCGGAAATTTGTTATTCCTTAAATGATTATCGGTTCCCTAGTGTCAACTGACAGCCGTGAGACCATTCGAAAAGGAATGACACGTTGTTTGTCACCGCAAGTACTGAATAATGTAAGATCTCGCGAAGTGCCGTGACATACTTATGGGGCATATCTCTTGACATTTCAATTCAGTCAGGCAGTCTCTCCAATGTAAACAGACCGCTCTTCAGTGTAAATAGACCGTCCCTGTTTGAACGTCTTTGGATTTTTAAAATAATGATGAAAGCCAAGTGAAGTAGATAGGCGTATACGCTCGTGAAGACTGAGAGTGCACTGCATAACTAACATTAACAAATACTCTCAGGACGTACCAGTACAGAATTATAGAAAAAACAGGGGGAAAGGTCATTTGGCATACTTTGTACGGTAATCCGCGTGAAAGAAAAAACGAGAGAGCACCTACTAGAGAGTACGAGCTATTGAGATCGGGACGAATAGTGGATTCGAAAGTTTGTTCGTGCAGATACTGGTAAGTGTAAGGCAGGCAACTCCGCCGGCGACTTGAAGAAGAAAGGAAGATTCACTTGCAGGTGACTGAACATTTTCCTCATAATAAAATAATATATATTCATGATTACAAAAATTTACTTGGCGAATTTAGCGCTCGTGAAGTTTCGGTCAAATCCAGCAAATATAGCCAAGACTGCAGTCTGGAGGCCTGTGCGGTGGGTGAAAAGGTCCCTTAGGGTTGTCTCCCTTGTTCTGTCCTCGTCCACAAATGCAAAGTCTGGCCCCAGTACGTCCTTCACCTTTGATGTCCATGTTAAACTGTAACACAGTAATACACACTAATTGTCACATTCATCTGTAATGCGACCTGGTCTCATAATCTCATATTTACCACAGAGGTTTCTCAGATATCAGATATCTAGCTAACAGACAAACAACAGCAATATACTTAGATAATTGTTTGTCCCCGGTACACAGAAAGAAAGTTTCAAATCAATGCTCTATGCTTCACACATATACTCCGTTTGATTTCATTTGAGACCGAGGGGCGGTGGGTAGCCTAGTGGTTAGAGCGTTGGCTCGTCACGCCGAAGACGCGGGTTCGATTCCCCACATGGGCACAATGTGTTAAGCCCATTTCTGGTGTCCCCCGCCGTGATATTGCTGGAATATTGCTAAAAGCGGCGTAAAACTAAACTCAGTCAGTCAATCATTTGAGACCGATGAATTCCTCACTAACACAAAATCTAACAATTGCAACAAAAAACAGATTTTGCACAGTCACATGAAATCGACAGACCAACTCTGATGATTTGTCTGATAATTGTGCACACCCGAATGAGAAAGTTGTTTAACAAACGATCATTATTTTGTTGTCACTTTTCGCTATTTCTTACGAGGGAGGATCACTTGCTGGTAGAACAGCCAGGTGTGCGAGTTGTACGTGTGAAATTGAAATTTCACTGCACAGTTCGTGTGCTCATTGTGTGACCTTGACACTGAGATTCAAATTCATGTCTATTGTCTCCTCTCTTTGATCAAATTTCTATTCCTTCGCCTTTACATTTCTCTTTTATAAGTTGTATATTATTTAAGATACATTTGTGTGCCTCGACCTAAATATTTTTCTTTGCAAACACTGTAATAACCTGTTTCCATCTGCTAAGTTCTAAACATTCACCTTGAATTCTCATTCTTGATTTCACCAGTCTTAACATTGTGACGTACCTGTGGTTTCGAACACGAAAACCGCATGTTCCCTAATTTCGCTGTGTGAACGTTTCACTCAGCAGTTTGTAAGATCATGACAGCAGGCAGAACCTGAACAAAAGAGTAGTTTCCCTTTGTGAAGGGCCGTTACTCTAGTGGGCGGACCGATGGACTGCTGAGAAGAGCGAATAGAATCAGTTATATTATTTTGCCAATATGTGCTTTCAACATACATTTTTAAGGATATACCGACTGCCTGATAAGTTACTGAGCTTCTGACGTAATATCTATCAGATTGCAAATTTCCATGGAAACGATTATTTAGGTAGATATCATCAGGTTTATCGAGAGCAGAATTTACAATGAGATTATATGAGAAAGAGATTATTACGTTTATGCATTTTGGGACGGTAAATATCCTGTATTGAGAATAAGCATTAAATATCTGGCTCTCCAAGGCTCCCTTAATATCCTGTATTGGGAAAAAGCATTAGATACCTGGCTCTCCAAGGCTCCCTTAATATCCTGTATTGGGAATAAGCATTATGTATCTGGCTTGCCAAGGCTCCCTTAATATCCTGTATTGAGAATAAGCATTATATGTCTGGCTTGCCAAGGCTGTCTTGATATCCTGTATTGGGAATAAGCTTTACATGTCTGGCCCACCAAGGCTCCCTTAATATGCTGTATTGGGAATAAGCATTATATATCTGGCTTGCTAAGGCTCCCTTAATATCCTGTATTGTGAATAAGCATTTTATGTCTGGCTTGCCAAGGCTCTCATGATATCCCGTGTTGGGAATAAGCATTACATGTCTGGGCCACCAAGGCTCCCTTAATATCCTGTATTGGGAATAAGCATTATATACCTGACTCGCGAAGGCTCCCTTAATATCCTGTATTGGGAATAAGCATTATATATCTAGCTCTCTAAGGCTCCCTTAATATCCTGTATTGGAATCAGCATTATATACCTGGCTCGCGAAGGCTCCCTTAATATCCTGTATTGGGAATAAGCATTATATACCCGACTCGCGAAGGCTCCCTTAATATCCTGTATTGGGAATAAGCATTATATATCTAGCTCTCTAAGGCTCCCTTAATATCCTGTATTGGAATAAGCATTATATGTCTGGTTCTCCGAGGCTCCCTTAATATCCTGTATTGGGAATAAGCATTATATACCTGACTCGCGAAGGCTCCCTTAATATCCTGTATTGGGAATAAGCATTATATACCTGGCTCGCGAAGGCTCCCTTAATATCCTGTATTGGAATAAGCATTATATATCTGGTTCTCCGAGGCTCCCTTAATATCCTGTATTGGGAATAAGCATTATATGTCTGGCTTGCAAAGGCTCTCTTAATATCCTGTATTGGGAATAAGCATTATATGTCTGGCTTGCAAAGGCTCTCTTAATATCCTGTATTGGGAATAAGCATTATATGTCTGGCTCGCCAACGCTCTGTAAATATATGAAGGAACAGGGGACTTAAATTTAAATCTGTTTTCATTTACCGTTACGCAAAAAGTGTTTTTTGCAGAATAAATGTTACGAAAATTCTAACAATAAGGACGGCAGGTAAGAAAACTAATCCCAAGCAGTTTAAAAGTAAAATGATGCAATATGATTTTTATGTTTTATTTCTGCTTTATCTTGTTCCTTCATTCCGTTGAACCGGAAGCTGGCAGGGGTAATGGAGGCGAAGAACGATTTGACATGCCACAATTTGCGCTGGAAATGTTATTAAATATATTGTACGTGAGTAATTATTAAATAGGAGGTTGAAAATCTGAGAGCACAACTCTGTGAGGAAATGGGTGTCTACCTTTGATGATGGCGATATTTTATTTTGATATTAAAATATTTTTCGAACCGAAGCGGGGAAGCACGTTGTAACCTTTGCTCGCTTCGCTCGCTTATGGGAAGACTGGTCATTTTCTCTTTGTTGCGCAACCCTATTTGCAGTACAATTTGCCTGTGCTCTGAGTCACTGAATAAACCTTATGATGTTATAGATATTTGTCAGTGACGTTTTACATTTGTTACTGAAACTGCAGGACAAATGCAAACAGTATGTTACTCAATGTGCATTGCAGTTGTATGCGTGTTGAACGAGTTATCTCATTACGGTTGAGTAATAAGGTATATCTGACATACCTTCCATTACTGTCATCAATCATCATGGCCAGGAGGGTACTCGTGAATGCCTTGGTCACTGAACCAATCCCAAATAACGTGTCCTTGGTGACGTTCACTCCCTGTTCTATGTCCGCCTGTCCGAACCCCCGTGTCCACGTCTCATTCCCCTTCACAACAGCCAGGGTCAGCCCGGGGATCTGTCTACACCGCATTACCTCCTCCACAAACATCCCCACTTTACTGGCCTGGTCATCGGTGAAAACCCCCGCCCACCCGGCTGAAACAGCGGACATGAGCAGCAACGCTTGCATACACCACATCATCTTGTTATATATGTCACGGAATCCAAGACAATCTGGATATGAGGCGCGTTTCTTTGTCACGTAATGATGAGAGCGCAGCGTCATACGTTTGCATTCCTCTGTCATCACAACGTCCCATACAGATTGTTCAAGTCTATTGACACTGATAACATGCGCAAATACACCGGAGAGGGAAACCCATTCAAACTTGCGCAATCCTCATACTCGTCGCGACTGTTGTCAAGTCTGGACCAGACAATTCCATAATCAACAGCATGAGCATCTACGCGATTCGGATACGATGACATGTGTCAACCAAGTCAGCGAGCCTCACTACCCGATCCCATTAGTTGCCTCTTGAGTCAAGCATGGGGTGTCTTGAAAAGTGTGAAATGGCCCCTTTTCTCCTTTCGTTGCAAACAATAAAGTTTTATAGAAGTGACCGACCCAAAATACCCTGTCTGTAAGAAAACTACCAGCTGCAAACCTTCCGAATATCAAATTAATGTGTCTGATATTGTTAGATTCCCTGCCACCAGCTGCAGAATTGTCGATGCTGCGTAAAGATACTCACTCACTCCATTATTGTGAGTGAGAGAGTGAGTTTAGTTTTACGCCGCACTCAGCAATATTCCAGCTATAATGTGGCGGTCTGTAAATAATCAAGTCTGGACAAGACAATCCAGTGGTCAACAGCATGAGCATCGATCTGCTCAATTGGAAACCGATGACATGTGTCAACCAAGTCAGCGAGCCTGACCACCCGATCCCGTTAGTCGCCTCTTACGACAAACATGGGTTACTGAAGATCAATATTCTAACCCGGACTTTCAGGGTCATTGTTAGAGAGGTGACTCAGCTAGTACCCCGGTCAGGATGGAACGTGCGGCTTCATTGTGTGCAGTCAAAGAAAAGGAAATTGTTCAGATGTTATGAAAGGTTTCATGTTCAGTGTGTATTAGTACTTATAAACACCAGAACCAATTGATATATAATATATATCTGATATTTAAGTATTGATAAATTATTAGAACTAGGGCATACATGAACTATGGGATCCCACATACTGTTGAATCTCAATGAAGCATCGACTGCTACAGGGTGGTATAGTGCTTGACACTGATGGTTGGTTGGTTTGTTGTGTAATCCCGCAGCGGTTTGTACCTAATCGAGTCTGGACCAGACAAACTGGTGATCAACAGCATGAGCATGGATCTACACATTTGGGATACGATGACATGTGTCAACCAATCCCGTTTAGTTGCATGGGTTACTGAAGATCAATTCAATTTTCACGGGTCTACCATAAAAAGCCTGGACGTGGACCAGTCTACATACTGGTTGGATCACATAGATCACATTATGTAAAACAAGCACATGTTCACACCTTTATAAGACAAGCACATGTTCACACCTTTATGAAACAAGCACATGTTCACACCTTTATAAAACAAGCACTTGTTCACACCTTTATGAAACAAGCACATGCTCACGCCTTTATAAAACAAGCACATGTTCACACCTCTATAAAACAAGCACATGTTCACACCTTTATAAGACAAGCACATGTTCACACCATAATAGAACAAGCATGTTAACACCTTTATAAACACAAACACGTGTTCACATCTTTATGAAACAAGCACATGTTCACACCTTTATAAAACAAGCACATGTTCACACCTTTATTAAACAAGCACTTGTTCACACCTTTATGAAACAAGCACATGCTCACGCCTTTATAAAACAAGCACATGTTCACACCTCTATAAAACAAGCACATGTTCACACCTTTATAAAACAAGCATATGTTCACACTTGATAAAACAAGCACGTGTTCACAAGTTTTTATAAAACAAGCGCGTGTTCACCTTTACAAAACATATACATGTTCACAGATTTGTAAGACGAACAGGAAAGGAATACAAATGCAATATAAATGCATTTGCATGCAAAATGATGCAATAGAAGTCCAACTTAATATTATTTTAAACCAGCTACGTAGATCGATGTCATCATGTCAGTCACTGGATTGTCTTGTTCAGGTTCGATTGTTTACAGACCGCCGTGATATAGCTATAATACTTTTGAACGCAACGTTAGGCAATAAACAAACAAAACCATTACGTCCTCGCAAACAGTCATGGTATTTCCTTCAGCAAGGTAAGATGAAAACAGAAAAAAGTACACAAACACAAAATATGATACAAAAGAAACATGAACAATGGTTTTAAGAAAGGTTAGGGAAAATGGCTCCCATCAAGGAGATCGGGTCAAAATGAAACAGGGTTTGAAGACATGCATTCACATATGTGTCTGATGAGGAAGGCTATTTGTACATTCACGGGGACAAGTATTTACAAATAGAAACATGACGTCCTATATAAACGAAAGCGAATGCCTGAAAAGATGTACCAGCTTTACTACTTAGTATTACACAGATTTCGTAAAAATACACGAAAGTATTATAATCCCCTAGACATATATACTAGATAATTATGAATACATGTATATCGTCATGGGACGTCAATAATCATGCCTTTGACCTCAATACCATTTACCATTTTGTGTGTGTATATATAGAATTGAAGAAATTATATCTGTACCAAGGATCTTCCGATTTGTTACTTTTATGTATATATACTCTCCCCAAAAAGAAACGCATCATGAAAATAGCAATTTCATGTAGCAATGACTTAAAACGTGATTCATTTTACAAAAGGTTTTGCTCTGTTTATGAGTCCTATGGTGTTTATGTTTTGAAACATCACAACAAAACGCACCATCCGTAAAATACCCGTATTTAACAGCATGATTTTCAATTTCGCCGTGTAGTGTCACAGAATACACAATTCACATGCAATGCACGTGAAAGTTGGGATTAGATAGTCTCAATGATGGGTATAAAAGGTTGATTGCTGTCTGTCGATTATTCACTGTATTTGGAATATTGTTGACGAACGCAAAATGCCACGTCTAAACGAAGCCAACCGTCATATCGCCATTGGTTTGCTTGAAGCTGGCCAGTCTCAACGTGCAGTTGCCCGACGCATGACTGTTCACCAAAGCACCATTTCACGGCTCTGGGAAAGATATCGCCCGCAGAATGCGGTAGCAGATGCCCCTGCGGCGCAGGATCGCTACATCCGGGTACATCACCTGCGTCATCGAACAGCTACGGTGACCAGTAACGCTCGACAAATATCCGGATTGAGGCGGCTTTCTGCACAGACCATCAGGAACAGGTTGAGAGAGGCTGGTTTACGTGCCAGAAAACCTTGTGTTGGCCCTATGCTTCGACAACAACATCGTCGACATCGAGTTCAATGGTGCACCAACGTTCAGGATTGGAACCTACCGAATTGGCGTAGAATCTGGTTCAGTGATGAATCACGATTTCTACTGGAACGACGCGATGGAAGAATGCGGGTGTACAGACGTCGACGTGAACGTTTAGCCGACGCTTGCGTTCCCCAGGTGGACAGATTCGGCCGGGGAATTGTTATGATGTAGGGGGAGATCACCTGCCGTAGGAGAAGTCATTTGGTGATGATCCAGGGCAACCTGACAGCTCAGCGGTACTGTGACGAAATCCTACGCCCACACCTCCTTCCAATCATTGATCGCCAGAGGGAGTTGTTTCAATAGGACAATTTCAGGCCCCACACAGCACGTCACACTAGAGACTTCCTCCAGAATCACAACATCAATGTGCTCCCCTGGCCCTCAAGATCACCGGACTTCAACCCGATCGAACATCTGTGGGATGCCCTGGACAGACGGGTGCGACGCCGTAACCCTCAGCCCCAGACACTTCGGCAACTCGCACAGGCACTACAGGCAGAGTGGGCTGCGATTGGGCAGCATGAGATTCTGAGACTTATTCGTTCGATGCCGAGGCGATGCCGTGCAGTTCTGGATGTCCACGGTGGTCACACGAGGGAATAACTTCAGCGCCACCACACGTCTCCATGTGACACTCAAACTGACTTTCCTCGAGTTGGTGTCAAAGACGGATAAGTCTGCATTCCCAGTGTGCAATTTCGCTATATTTCATTGCCTCGAAAAGCCTACAAGATGTTTCAAAATAAACATAAAAATACAGTTGAAATTCCTATATGCGTTTCTTTTTTGGCAGAGTATACATCAGTGAGGTATTATATATGTTTTATATGTATGTGTTTATATATATATTAAATTTAAAACACACAGGCATGTAATACATGTACAAAATAAACACACAAACACGCGTAAAATGCATTTATCACACACACACACACACAACACATTATGTATTATAGTGTTTGGGTGTGTGCGTGAGTGTATATACATGTATCATTAGAAAGACAGATCTTCTTTCAATGAGAATGGCCATTCAATTCTTGACGTTTTAACTGTAGACATGCAGAGTATGTTAGCACAATTATCTGTACGTGTCATATGGTCATATGTAAACCAAATATAGTAGAGACCTGTACTGTGTACGTGTGTGTGTGTGTGTGCGTGCGTGCGTGCGTGCGTGCGTGCGTGTCCACACATGTATATGCATCTGAATGATATTGATCCATGATATAGGCTTGTATATAATCAATTCTGGAACAAACACACTAGTGGTTGATATTATCGACAATGGTTAACATTAACACAATAACATCACCACACGCATTATGTCGGCTCGAGCTCAGGTTGCTGGAGATCGAAACCAGGCTTATTAATGTTAGACATGTCGCGGGTCCTGGTCGCAGATAATCGGACTGAGGCGTAATTGGTTAAAATGTCGTATATTCTGAAAAAACCCCATCTAAGATATCAGTAGAAGACGATTTATGGCCTTGGGGTGTCACAACTCACCTGGGCCGTAGTGTGACATGAAGTGACCAATTTTACCACAAATTACATTTATAATATGGTATTTACGGTATAATATTGCACTTTATACAAAGAAGAATATTATGAGCAAATTAAGGAAAGTAGACATCACTCCCACTTATTTACGTGCTGGTGCCAGTGTTTAAGTAGTAAGCTCGTGCAACGCGATGCCTTATAATAGATATATAATAGATATATTAAAAATATTACGAACCTTTATGATGATATGTTTCTTAGCGAAGAAAGTATATAGGAAAGGTGTATACCTGTAGAACATATAGGACATC